ATCCTTTTGTAAATCAGCAGCATCCTCTTCACAGCTAGCAACACCCAAGACTTTAATATCACCTGCAAATTTAAGAATTTATTGACCATTCTTTCATCTATGTCATTGATAAAAATCAAAAATAGCAAAGGTCTCAAGACTGATCCCAGGTACCCCACTTGTGACATTAATCCAGTTTGACTGATCTCCATTTTTAACCACCTTCTGCTTTCTTCCATCTAGCCACTCTTCTATCCAATTTGCTAACTTATCCTCCACACCTATAGAGATACTTTTACAAGTCTTTTATGTGGCACTTTTTCAAATACTTTCTGAAAAAAAGATACACCAAATCTACATAAACAGCAACCTTTTCAAAGAATGTCAAAAGATTTGTAAGGCAAGATATTCCCTTGGTGAAACCATGTTGACAATCCAATAAAATTCTAACAATAACATTGTTTAATTATATTTTGAATGTCATTGTAAAAGGTCAAGACATGCACTTTGATCTAGTCATATAGAAAAAATTAAAGAATAAGGAATTCACGTTAAAATCAAATGTGCTCAAATAAGGACTTAAAGGTAATAACACTGCCAAGTGTTTTTATTATCATCAATTCAAATTTTATGTTAAATTTGAAGTTGCTTTAAAGAAACAAGAAGAAAAAATTATTATAGATACTAGTTGTGACAAGGAATGCATATTGCATTTTTAATGTTTAATATGTTTAGGGTTTTAACACAGGCCTAAGATTAGGCAAGGTTGAAATAATCTTGTCTCATGAGCCATAGTATCATTTAGTCACAAAAAAAGTATTTATAAATTTAAATTCAAAATGTTAGAGTGAGTAGAGTGAATGTTACAGTATTTTCTTTAATGTTTGTGCATTATCTTAAAAAACTGGTATTAGTATTCATTTAGTTATCACCACAAATTTCAATTTCACAAAATTAATACAGTTCAGAAATGATCTGATATGGACAACGTAATCAGGTATAGAAAAGTGGTATTATGTATCCCAAGGTTATCTTACCTGTTAAGTGTCTACTTTATTTAGTCATACCTTATATACACATGTTAATACTATTAATAACACACTACAAGAAAATAACATTATACAAAACAAACATAACACAAATCATTGCCTTTTATGACAAAACCTACTTACCAAAATGATAAGCCTGTTTAATGTTTGTAACCACAAAATTCTGTAGGGTCAACTTGAAATTTTGGAAGCTAGATGCTACAGAACACATCCCATAAAATGCGGAGTCTACCATATATGAATGTATGAAAAAAAAAATGAAAATTATGTTATATATGTATTTTATATATACATTATATTATATAAAATCTGCAAATCATGCGTGATACAAAACTACAAGTTGTACAACTTTTGACAAGTACACTAGTCTTAGTATTACTAGGGCTAGTACGTTACTATCATCGTAACAGTTTAGGTAACTTAGCATAAATATCGGATTAAGTATTCTGTTTTTCAACTTTGTGATAGTAATAATAATAAAATTAAAACTAAAAGTACCTACTATCTAATTCTAACCTAATAATATTTGTGTTACTAAGTGTTAATGTTAACTTAGTAAGTTAACTGTTTAGTTAGTTATTGATGTACCGCTAGTATAAATTAATGTAGTCCTACCTTGTTTTTCCGGTTGTGTTGTGATTCTACAATACACAACGAAAATTAGTAAACTCCAAACTGAAATATAAAGTAACCAATATTTGAAATTATTAATTTTTTTATATCTCCATTCAACGTCATCACAGTCAGACACGAAAAGCTTCTTTTTCACAAGAACAGGATTTCCTTCCAAACTCATTTCGTTGGAAGCCATTTTATAGTGACATCTATTGAGCAAGCTGTTTTATCATAATATGTGATAAATACAAAGATATTTATATAAAAAAAAACAACTAATTTTCCCTGTCACCGAGCGTGCTCGCTTGTTTTGCCGTGGCAGCGTTATAATGGATAGTCAATTCCTCTATTCGTTGCTAAATCAGTAGCCCAAGGTTTGGTGGTGGGTGGTGTTGACTAGCTGCCTTCCCTTTAGTCTATCACTGCTAAATTATGTACGACTAACACGGATAAGTCTCGAAAATTGTACGAGCATCAAACAAACCATAGAAACTTACTAATTATTATAATTTATTCAATTCTAAATTGGGAGACCCATTCCTAGTTCATAATTTAGGAAATCAAATTTTGCGTTGGACTGAGGGACACCGTATGGTCCGCCCCCTTCTACTCTCAACTAAAAATATCCAATAACGTATGGCGAACTGAACCTTAAAAAGCAAAGGCTAATTTCAAGTAGTTGTGTTTTGCTCAGTTAGTCTATGAATTGTCATCATCTGAAATGGTTTTGTTCAAGTCGCTTTAAACCTAACATTCTATGGAGGCCCTTTCTGGGATACCTAGCTTACATTATCACGTCTATAAATGATCAACTTTCACATTCAAAAGAAATGTCTGTGGTTTCAGGAATAGTGTCTTATATTCTCAGATGCAAGCAATGTTTTCTTATATTTTCTTCTCACCAGTTTTCACGTTTTCTGTCGTCAAAATTACAGTCTTGAAAGCATACATAGGTAGTTGATATTACATGTTTTTCTATATTTTACCTTCAGCAATTTTCAATTTCTTACCATCAAAAGATTTCGGTTTTGAAAGCATACCATGTAGCTAGTTTATACGAAATGTTTTCCCACATTTTCCGCTTACCAGTTTACAATTTCCTACGATCAAAATATTCCAGTCTTGAAACTATACATAGCTTATTTATCTGACATTTGTTTCTTTTGTTTTTTACATTTTCCACATAACAATTTTCAATTTCCTGCCATCAAAAGATTCTAGTTTGGAAAGTATGCGTAGGTAGTTTATGTGACAAGTATGGGAATTCAGATATCTCTGATATGGGCATAAGGTTTGTTTGTTTGTTAGTTTGTTTTGAATTTCGCCCAAAGTTACACGACGGCTATCTGAGCTAGCCGTCTCTAATTTAGTGGCCCGGCATGGCCAGATGGATAAGACGCTCGACTCGCAATCTGAAGGTCGCGGGTTCGAATTCCCGTCCCACCAAATATGCTTGCTCTTTCAGCTATGTGGGCTTTATAGCGGTCAACCCCATTATTCGTTGGTGAAAGAGTAGCCCAAGAGT